ATTACAAGCGTTGAACTTTTAATTTTTATCAAAAATATCCTAAACTTTAAAAGTATATAATAAGATTTTTTTTTCTAATATGTATTTGTGACTTGTTAGATTAAACATTTTATAAATTTCATATATCTACTGGACATAAAATTAAAGATTAAACGCGTTCTATCAGACACAAAACCTATTAGACTTGTCAAGTTTTTGGATGATTACTTGTAACTTAACCAATAAACAAATAGATTCTATCTAACCTGTCTTAAACTTTTCAATTTTAAAAACAAAAATTAAAAGATCAAGATCCTATTAGACACGTTTTAAGGTTGAGGACTTGATTGACACGACATTAAAAATTATTTAGGGACTAAATTTATAATTTCACCCGCCAACGAATTTACCTATAAAATATAATCTGATTCCTTGCCAACAAGTTTTATATTTGTCATGTGTAACGTTTTTTAAGGACAAAAGAGATTAAAATGAAAAGACGAATGTTTCAGAATTTGGACAAATTTGTGGTGCGGTAACAATTGAAAGAGAGAGATTAAATTATTTAGAGAGAGAAAATTTTCATTTTTATTTTTTGTCTCATTAACAAGCTGTTTCTTTGTCATTTTATTAACTTATTCTTTGGTCTGCCTAATGTTTTCAAGTATATATGATGGAATTTTCCAATGCTCCACCTTTCATGTTTTTTACTTTTAAATTAAATTAAAAACTTTGCTTAAATTTTCCCAATATTAAAACACGTATTTTGTTGGTTTATTAACCATGTTACTAGTTAAAACGAGCATAGTTCAGCAATAATGGACATATATCTCAAATTAAGAGGTTGTGAGTTCGATCCTCCGCCCCCACATGTTTTATTAAAAAAACTCACATTAATACACACACAAGTTGCAATATGAACATAGTTCAATGATAATTGATATGTATTCTTTCATTCGAGGTTGGAGATTTGATCCCCATATCCCCAAATTATTATACTGAAAAAATACGCACACAAGTTTTTGAAATTCAATTGAAGTTTCAAAAATACGTAAAAATATATTTGTTTCCGTCGGGATTTGATTGCACATAAGGTCTTTAAAGAATAATCAAGTTCATTACATGCAAAACAGGAGTGAGCACTCTGAAACTTAAGTTAGTATAGAGTTGAACTGTTCCATATATAATTTGCTATCAAATTCATGTAGAGTTACCTCTAGTATTTATGTGAACGACAATTGTAACTGTTGTTTGACCACGTAGCAGTACATTACCATAAACTCCAATGTTAAATTTACTGGTGTAGTTAGTGGAGCGACTGAACGGTTATCTCAACTTGTGTGGAGGAACTTTGGAGTACACCCATATACTTCGAATATAACTACCAAAGTATTATCGTTTCCCTTTGGTTTAGTAAACTTTCCAACCATTGTCTTTTGACACGTGACATACAAGGATATGTCATCTAACAATATCATTGAATAATATCTAATATGAGTATAATTTAATTGAATATGTGATATATGTCACATTCAACCATTTGTATATATAATTTTTCAATTATAAAAGTTCAGGAGATATAATTATGAATTAAAGCAAAGTTTCCACTTTATTTTTGCGAGTGGAATATTGGAAGAGGGAAAATTAGGAAAAAAAAAAAAAAGGTAAGTGGATATCAAATGATATGAGGCTGAGGTAGGGTGAAACACACACGTCTGGCCAGGGCTGAGCCCTGACCCAAAAAAGCAATGCCAAACCCAAAGCAAATGATTCTGGTAAAAAGTAAAGGCCACACAAAATATTATATATATATATATATATATTTTATTTATAATTTATATTTAAATCTGCATATATGATCTGCATTCTGCACCACCAACCCAGAGAGAGCTATGAAAGTGAGAGGTTATGATTATTACTATGCCCTCTTCTTACTTGCTTACTGCCTCTCTGCCCTGATCTGCTGAAGACATAAACAGGGTAAAAAGGGAATCTTCTTCCTCTCTCTCTACACACACGAGCTGATGAGATGAGGGTAATCTCTCTCTCAAAATCAAGAGTCAGGATAGAACGAAGAACAAAGGAAGGAGGGACTACGACCAGTCTAATTAGAGAATGTTAAAAGAAAAGATTTTATATAAGTTTTTATTAGATACGGACTACTTCTTTTATTTTAAATTAATCTTGAAATGAACCTATGAGTATTGATATAGTATCAAAGTCCAAAAAACTCAAACAAGTATCCGGTCCAAAATGAGATCCGGTCAAAGACCAATGAGCTACTCTCCCATTGACAATAGAAAATTGTTGATGTTCAATCCTACCAATGAGCTACTCTCCCATTGACAATTGATTTTAGAAAATTGTTGATGCTCAATCCTCCTCGCTTAATTTCTAGACTAAAAAATAAATACATAAAAAATTTATACACATTTAATTATTTATCATAAAAAGTCTCATCAAATTTAAGTCGTACATTCTTGTTATATAATAATTTAGTTTTTGTAGTGTATAAATACATTTCACTCATTTTATTGATCTACACCATATGAGTACATATCATAAATTTTATCCAATATTAACAATATTTTTCTAACAAAGATTAAATTGTTGTAAATTTTAAATTATATCAACTAAATTATTAAATATATATTAAATTACAAGAACTAACGATATTTTTTTAATAACCCAAAAAAAAAAGCAAAATCTCTCCCATGTCGAATCTCTCTCAAGTCTCAACAGAGAGAGAGAGGTAAAGGGTTTGATATTGGACCACCGTTGAAGGGGCTGTGAGTTTTGAAATGGTGGTGGCACGTGGCAGTGTCAGCTCAGAAAATAGACTATATATTTATATTTATATATTGGATAATAGATAAATAAATAAATAATTTATAGGGTCAAAGGCGAGTCAAAAATATATGTTAGGCATAAAGGACACTGCCCCTTTATTCTGCCCTAACCCTATCTCCTCTCCCTCTCCCGTCTCTTTCTCTCTCTCTCTCTCATTATTTTCCCAAAACATTCTCCTGCCCTCCTCGTTTTTTCTAATAACTTAAAATCTTAAATTAAATTACTAATTTAGTACTACAAAGTTTTAAGTGGTATCTCACCGCTATTTATAAGTTTTTTTTTTGTCAATTTTTAATGTTGTGTTTAATAGACAGGTTTTAAATTTTATGTTTAAACAATTTTTAATTCAATGAATTATTTAGATATCAAATAGATATAAAATTAAAGATTATTCTATTTTCTGAATATTTTTTTAAAAGTGAGAGACATGTTAGACATTTTTTTAAAGCTAAGGAACGTGTATTAAACACGACATTGATCAAATTTCTAAGTTAATTAACCTAAAACTTAGTCTTTGATTGTGATTTGGGTTTATTATCAATTTGGTTTTTATAGTTTTAATAATTTCAACTTGATCTCTATAATTTTACTACACGTGCCTTACCAATTGTCCTTTAAACATGTTTTACTCGCTCATTTTCCCAGTTTAATTTTTCACTCCACCCCTAACCCTAAGAGAGTGTGTTTAATGTGATGGTTTGAATTTGAGTGGTTTAAATTAAAATGTCAAACTTTGTTCGCTTCATGGGTTTGCAAGCTAAGAAAAGGTCGTCAAACAAACCAATAGGTTTCAATAGAACTCGGACCCACTTGTTTATGTAGCTTTTCTAAACTTGGATTTCTTAAACTCGTGAACCCAAACATAGGTCTCTCCTGTATCTAAACTTCTTAAACCTTCCACTTGAACCCATAGCCCGACGTGGTTGCCATATTAAAATATTAGCTCATTTTACTCCAAAATAGAAATTGTGTCGTGTATTAATATTGGTTATAATGATGATCGGTAAGATTAGACCAAATTTTAAGAAACAAAGCAAAACTTAAAGAATTATTGGATCTAAATTGAAAAGAAATTGAAACTCTAGGATTTGTCATTTTGATTTAGCTTTATTTTTATATACTATATACAGTTTTAGGATTCTTTTTTTTTTTAACTCTTTAGCTTCAGCTTTATATATATAATCTTTATAAGTTAACCATGAGACTCTTGTCAAAGTGAGTATAGCTTAGCGGTAATTGACATATACCTCCAACCAAGAGGGTGARAGTTCGATCCCCCATTCCAACTCCTAATAGTAAAAATATATAAAAAGTTCAAATTTTTAATATTTTATTATCAAAACCACTGCTTATATGTATGTAAACATTTTCAATAGTTCTCCTTTTGAACTTGGATTGAACTATTAAATAAAAAAAAAGACCTAAGGCTAGTGCTAAATTACAAAATTACTAATTTACATTCTCATCCTTTGATGACCAACCTTCAAGATAAAACAACCTATGGTATATAATATTGAAACGATCAATAATTAAACGGTGCGTTTGATAAATTTTATCATYTAGGCAGTTAAAATTTTTGTTTTCTTTCTAAATCAATTTTTTTTTCTTCTTTTGTCACCATATGGAATAAATGGAATTCTGAGCCATTGGGCCTCCGTGAGATATGGCCCAACGTAGATGGGATGGTCGTGGTCCTAGTTGAGGGCCGGGGCTGCTGGCCCGTTATGAACATGACGTCAATTATCTATATAGTTTTTATTCTAAAAATATAATTAAAAACTGATTTAGAAGTAAACTTTTATGAGACTCGCGATATTAATGAAGTTATTTATGTTTATTGAATATTTATTATAAAATAATGAGTTAATGCTTTTGATACATGCAGCTTGTTTTTGCAGTTGGAATGAGAGATCAAAACATCTATCAATTATTGTTGTTGTCTTAATTTTTATTTCATTCACATTTAAATACGTCGTTAATTAATATTTTATTATATCTCTAAAGCTTATATTATTATTAAATGATACTGAGAAATTTTATTATGAGAAATTTTCTACAATGAGAGCGTAATCAAGTAGAATTGGGCCACGACTGAGTTCTACGCTAGTGCTGGACCAGACGATTGTGGCTCCTCAGCACTCCCATAGCCACAGAAGATGATCACGAAGTGCGAGTGCACACTATGCTTTACTGTTTCAACTTTCCAACTGCCATTCTTCGTTTCAATTCACTTCTGGAATCTCCTCAGAATTCGTTTCTGATTCCAATTCCAAGATTCTAGCTACCGTCGTCAATGGCGGCAATGGCGGCGATGGCGCCATCTTCGTCGTTTTGCCAACCTCTGCCTGCAGCGGCCTCCGGGCGGGCCAGAAAGTCGGCGTTGCTGATTAGGAGGAGGCAACGAGTTGTGGCAAATTGGGGGCACTTCGCGGATGTGGTTCGCAAGGATGCGGAGTTCATAAAGGTCGGGTTGAACAGAGGGATTCGGTGGGCGAATGATGCTCTTCGAATTCCGCAGGTTTCGAAGACCTTCGACGATCTTCTGTGGCTTCGGAACCTTGAAGATCCTCGTGCTCTTGCTCTTCCTACTCCTTCTTGCCCGCGACCTTCATATCCAGGTTAAGCTTTCTGTAGTCCTGTTCTTTACTTGGAATACATGCTCGTGTTCACGAACACAGTCATTACAGTCAGATTGTGTGTGGGAATGTGAAATGATGTTTAGCTCAATTGGATATCAGCTAATTAATCGATTAACTTATAGTTGAAAATGTTGCATTTGTCTAATTTCATCCGTAATGGCACTCGTAAGTAGAGACGCAGCTATCCTGATTGCTGAAACGGACTGCTTGCCTAGGCGGATGTGGATTTCTTTTTCTAAGTTCAATCTCTTATGGCTGTGTCTGAGTCTTTGAATTTTAAAAGTGTCTAATAAGTTAACTTTTAATGCTGTGTTTAAAGGTGCTGAACTTTAAAAAGTGTCTAGTAGTTGTCATACACTATCAATTCTGTATCTAACGGATCTATCATCTATGAACTTTTAATTTTGTGTCTAATAGATCCTAATTTATGAGACAACTTTAAACTTTAAAGACCTATTAGATACATAATCGAGAGTTTAAGGACATATTACACACTTTTTAAAGTTTAGTAACCTATTAGATACATCATTGAAAATTTCAGACATATTAGACACTTTTTAAAATTTAGGGACCTAATCCTTTTGTTACTGCATGCATACATGCTCTTAGCAACTATCCCATTGATGTTGTAAATAACGTTCATTGTTGCTAATACTTATATTCAAACATTTTATTCTGCGTGCAGAACTCTCTGGTTTAGATTTGCTCATGGCTGATCTTAAAGCCTTAGAAGCATATGTCGTTTATTATTATTCTCTATCCAAAATTTGGTCAAAACCACTTCCTGAGGTCTATGATCCACAAAGTGTTGCTGACTATTTCAGTTGCAGGCCTCATATAGTGTCCCTTCGATTGTTAGAGGTATTACTTTAATTTTATATATCATGTTAACACCGTGTTGGTTTATTTTCTTTGTTATTTGTCCGTGTGGATTACATAAGAGCTGTTTGAGAGTTGAGTTTAAGTTCTTACTATGGTTGGTTTTTTCTTTCAAATTTTTTGTAGTTAAAACATTTTGAATGACTGTATTCTAAGGAACAAAAGATCCTTTAGTTATCATGGAGGGCATGTTTCTTGAGCACAACCGAAATTGTTTGTCCTTAGAAAATAATGAGCTAATGGATGAATGACTGTATAACACACACTACCCGGAGGGTTTTAATTCCATCCTGAATTAGCCATTACCCATGCAAATGGATGATCCAGATGCTTATTGCATTTACCATGTTGGCTATTGGAAGGTATTTTCCTCGTTTGCTTCTGCAGCAATAAGGATTCGAATGTCTAGAGTGCAAAAGTTTCTGAGACCAAGCTTAGATGGAGACAGCGATGGATCAAAATCCAAATTTGGGTTGGTGCTAAAAGAAACCCTCTTAAACTTGGGCCCCACTTTTATCAAAGGTCTGAAACTCCAGATTAGTTTCCTTCTAAGTTCCATTTTTTCTGCTTGGTCACCTTTCTTCTTTTCACATTGTGGCATTTGTTCCTGCAGACCACGTTTGTATCTTATCCAGACTGAAAATTACTGGCATGCTAATTTTGTCTCTCTATCGCAGTTGGTCAGTCCCTTTCCACAAGGCCAGATATAATTGGTAGTGAAATTTCAAAGGTTAGATGAAAGCGACTTGCTTATTTTCTTTGAATTACTTTAAGTGGCAAAATAAAAGTGTACCCTGTTTCTTTCTTTTCGCATCTGCCCATTGCTCTTTTCCTCGATATCATAGAACCTAGATTTGTCTCTCATCCTCTTAGTATTTTTTGAATGGGATTTGTGAGATTCTGATATTCATTATTGTTCTCGTGCATGAGGTTCGGTTGACTAACTCTCTTGCTGGTAGGCTATATCAATGGGACAGATAAACTCTTAAAAGATATAGATCATGGTTTCTGGAAATATGTTTTGTGCATAACATTATGCTGCTACCTGTGAGTTTCTTTGCATGTTTACGGTCTATAGAAATATGGTTAAAGATACATCTTTAAATAATGAACCCTCTTGTACTTTTCTAATGATTTGCGTTCATTCAAAGTAAACTGTAATGACTAGTTTGTTCTTTGTTTCTTTCTCTTGTATTTTATATTCTAATTGCAGGCTTTGTCTGAGCTACATGATCAAATTCCTCCTTTTCCCAGGACCATTGCTATGAAAATTATTCAGGAAGAACTAGGTTCTCCCATAGAATCATTTTTCAGCTACATCTCTGAGGAACCTGTGGCTGCAGCATCTTTTGGTCAGGTGTCTTTGTATTTGAAAGAAAATTGTGCTTGTAAATGCATGTTCGGATTTCAATATGGAGGTTGCTTAAACATTGAGCTTTTCAAACATTATAGGTCTATCGTGGGAGAACACTTGATGGCATTAATGTGGCTGTGAAGGTTCAACGCCCCAACATGCTTCATGTGGTAGTACGTGATGTATATATACTTCGACTTGGGGTATGTATTACCTTTCAGTGATGTATAATTTTCTTCATATGCATTTATACATCTCATTTTTTAATTTAAATGATTATTTCAGCTTGGATTCTTGCAAAAGATAGCAAAGAGAAAAAGTGACCTTCCTCTGTATGCTGATGAACTAGGGAAAGGTTTGCTTGGGGAATTAGATTATACTTTAGAGGCCAAAAATGCAACAGAGTTTCTGGTAGGCACTCCATATTACCTTTAATATTACTTTTCTTTCACCATTATGTCTGAAAAGAGCTTCCAGAAATTTTTTCAGAGTTCTCACTGTTTGGTTAAATGCTTAACTATAATTTTTTTGGTTAAATGCTTAACTATAATTTTTTTGGTTAAATGCTTAACTATAATTTTTTTGGTTAAATGCTTAACTATGTTTAATTTTATCAATGTGACATTTTATGTATGTCATACTGTTGAATGGTTGCCTAGTTATTTGTGTTTTTTTATTCTTTGGGTGGAAGTAGAGAACAGTATAAACAATTTGCCACGTATAAGGTAGAGCTTGGGGATTTGGGTGGAAGAGTTGCCTCTGAGCTCTAAGCTTTGTGCCAGGTGGCATGATTCTGATATCATGTGTGTTGACTAGGGTTCAGGGAGATCACCATTTGCATCATTCAGTCTTATAGAAATTTCAAATTAGTCAGAAGTACAACCTCCTATGGTCTAAAATCTAGATAATTCAGAAAACATGCATAAGCTGCCTTGGGATAGAGATGAGATCAAATTGGATGCTGCCTGCTATCTCTCTATACTTGTTCTGCACTTGAAGAGCTTGATGAAGTAATGAATGATTGACGTGGGAGGAGTCTCTTTCAATCAAGGGAGAACTGCCGTTCTCCGGGTTTGTGAAGTTGTAAAGGGAATTGAACCGATGCCACTTTTTTTCTTTCCTTTCTTTTCTTCTTTTATTTTCTTTTTTTCTCGCTGTAGCATACATTTCTTTCACTTTGTGAGGGAAGGAAAAATATTTGTGTTAGACACATCAAGATCTGCTTGTACACAATGATATAAATTAATATTTTAACTTGGTACGTAAGTATGTGAAATATTGCTCACAGAAAACCACATTCCTGGAAAATCCATCTCACTACATTCTACTTTTTGTCTTTCTTGGTGTATGACGTGGTGGCAACTGTTCCTCCCCTGCAGTTCATCTCTCTAACATGCTACTAAGATTATATCAAATGATCTTGCTGCTTGTGCAGGAAACTCATTCCCGCTTTCCATTTATGCATGTGCCCAAAGTATTCAGACATTTAAGCCAAAAGAAAGTCTTGACTATGGAGTGGATTTCTGGTGATAGTCCAACTGATTTACTCTCTGTATCTACTGGGAAACCCAACTCACCATATTCAGAGAGGCAAAAAGTTGATGCCAAAAGGCGTCTTCTTGATTTGGTGTGTTCAATTTGCACAGCACTAAGTTGTTGCCACATGCTATTTTGTGTTCCCAAGTCCCCCAGTACTGGTATAAAATTAATTAACTTGTTATGCTTTCTTTCTTCTAGGTTAACAAAGGAGTTGAGGCATCATTAGTTCAGCTACTTGATACTGGACTACTGCATGCTGATCCACACCCTGGAAACTTGCGTTATATATCTTCAGGACAAATGGGGTAATTTTCTCTGTCTGACGTATGTATAGGATGTTWTCTATTGAAAGATCCATCAACATTTCATATCCTGCCAGGTTTCTAGACTTTGGTTTACTTTGTCGGATGGAGAAGAAGCATCAATTAGCAATGCTTGCATCCATTGTACACATTGTAAATGGGGATTGGGCTTCCCTTGTCCACGCTCTTGCTGAAATGGATGTCGTGAGGCCAGGGACTAATATACGACGCGTTACTTTGGTATCACATCTCCTCCTACATTCATTAAGAACACTACAGTTTGGTTAATATAAAGCCCAAGTTCTTTTCCCACTGCTAGGAATCTCTGCAAGTTCCCTGCATGCAATTGACAAGTGACCAATCATGTTTCAGGATTTGGAATATGCCTTAGGAGAAGTAGAATTTAAATCTGGAATTCCTGATGTAAAGTTCAGTAAGGTGAGATTGAGATCTTGCTATTTATTTTTTTGAACATATGACAGGACCTTAACTTTTTATTCGATGCTAATAGTTTCTTTTGATTTATATTTTGATAATTACGGATTGCAAAATCTTCTTATGATTACAACTTTATTGGCTTATAATGATCAGTTGTCAGTGAAATATTGCAGTAGCTATTGCTTATTAGTTTTATAGGTTGCCAGCATCTAGTGGTACTGATCTCTCTCCAAATATATCGTGCTTGGTTAATACATGCACTTGTATTACATTCTTGGATACCTTATAAAAAACTTTCCACAAGTTAAGAGCCCTTGATAAGGACTAAGCCCCTTAAAGAAAGTGTACTAGTCTCCTTTCTCTTCCTTTTCCTTTTTGGAAATTGGCCGAGAAATAAATGAAAACACATCCCCAGTTCCATTGGCTAGTATTTAAATTCTGGATAAACATTTCTTGTGTTACTCTTATTCATCTTATAACTACAATGTTTAGATCATGTTACTTATTCTTGATACACTGTCGCGGTTGTTAAACATGCCTTCTTTTTCCTGCATTCTAGCTATTGCTAATCGTCTTTCTGATTCATATTTATTACTGCTGAATCCTGATGATTACTTTCATTTAGGTTATCGGTAAAATCTGGTCTATAGCCCTCAAGTACCAATTCCGCATGCCTCCATACTATACACTAATGCTACGGTCTCTTGCCTCCTTGGAAGGTGAGCTATTACATGGCACTATTAGAACTGATTTTACTTTGTTTTAACCCAGCAAACTTATGAGTAATTTTTACGCGGCATTTACTAGATAATAGCCGACATATTAATGGTTATGTTTATGAATGAGTTCACTTAAGACTAGAACAAGGGTTTCGTTTCACCCTTATTTATTGAATGGGACTAATAAAAAATAAAGCATCTGAATGTTTAAAAGTACAAAGTACTAGGAATCTTTCTCTCCTTCCCTCTCTAAAGCATCGGGGGATTGGTATTAATGCGCTTTATCGAAAATTCTTTTAATAAAGCTGGTTTATATTAGGTAAGTAACTACTTTAATTACCAATGAAATTTGACTTTTCTACTCTTTGAAATTCAAAATGATTGACAAACTTAGATATTCTAAAATCTTGGATATAACTTTTGCTTCCATATGAGACACTTACGAAATACCGAAACGGTAGTAGAGCAAAAATGTCATCGTTTTCATTATAAAAACTTCAAAATAAATCATTAACAAATATCATAACTTGATTGAAGATTGTTGTAAGGTCTCTAATGGGGAGCCTTGAGTTTTCTGAATTATCATATCTCAAAAAGAAAAAAATATGAAAAAAAAAAGGTTTGATGGCCATGAGAATTATTGATGACTATAAGAAGAAAGCCAAAAAAAATGAAAAAGTTTTATCTTCATACATTTTACTATTGTTTATGATGTTCAGATATGATGACCACCACCGGACTTCTCTATTTTTAACGTTCAAATTTTATATTTTTGTCATGTGCTCAGGTCTGGCATTAGCTGCAGATCAAGATTTCAAGACCTTTGAAGCTGCATTTCCTTATGTTGTACAGAAACTCCTTACTGAAAATTCAGTTGCAACCCGGAAAATATTACATTCGGTATTTTATAATAACTTCCTTATGACTTTTACACGGTTGATATTTGTTGTTGCATCTGGTGATGATATTGATATTTTGAAGTTATAGATGGTGATTGCATTGCATTAGCCATAGAGTTGGACTGTCTAACACTTTGTTGGTTCCCACTTTCTTAATTCTTATATTATCGTATTCATTACATTTCTATTTTATGACGACACTTCATTTTACTGATGGAATATGCTTGTTGATGTGCTAATTTTACGAACATTCCTATTTTTTCACTGTTGAATCAGTTACATTGGCTTCTCAATATTCACTGTGCTATTTGTCAAAACAGCATAGCCTATCAAAGTTGTTAGTAGTTCTTTATAGAGATGTCAGAAGATGGACGCAGTCTCAACTTTCACCATTCATTTTTCCTTTTGCAGGTGGTCCTAAACAAAAAGAAAGAATTTCAATGGCAGAGAGTTGTTCTTTTTCTAAGAGTAGGTGCAATGAGGTATGTAAGGTTCTGTTTCATTACGTCGATTGTTGAATTCGTAACAGAATTTTCATAGCTGTAGCATCCTATTGAAGGGTTGCATCAAAGTTCTTGTCAAATTGTAAGCTTTTGGTCCCTCGAATATTAAGAACTATAGTCTTCCGGTTTACAGAAATACTCGAGCTCTTCCACACTTTCTCATGAGTCAGTCATCTAATGGGAGAGGTGCTATATTTTTCCAATGTATATATGTATATACACATGGTTTCAGCTAGGAGCGGGCCCCCAAGCTTGTGTTAAGGTGGACGAAGCCTCTCCACAATTATTAGGGATAGTTGATTAGCATAATACAAGGAGTGAGACCCTTTTAACACCCCCTGTTAGAAAAAGGGGCAATAAAAGATATAGTCGTTTTGGAGTTGTAGAAATTTGGGGAAGATGGGAGTTTCATGGTTGCAGCTGATGGCGGAGTACTTACTAGGGCCTTGTTAAGATCGGGTCGATGATCCCATAATGATTATATGAATTTAGAACCCTTTTTATGTCTTGATTTGCAGGAAAGGTTTGCAACGAATGATAGCTCCACATAATGAAGCAGCTAATGAATATTCAACCGTTAAGGGCAACAGTGACCTTGATGTTGTAAATTTAATTACAAGGCTATTAGTTTCCAAAGAAGGTGCAGCGCTTAGAAGGCTTGTAATGACCGTGGTAAGTGTAACTAACAATCTTTTCTCTGTTATTAGTGCCCATCATTGCTCCTTTTCTATCTTGGTTGAATAATTATGTTCTTGACCAACCGTCTGATAATGTGTTATATGCTGAAGTAATCTTAAAGACTCATCATCGAAGCGAAGTCATAGCTAATGATTCTAAATGGTAATTTATCTTGGCATCTTGATGAACAGAATGGAGCTTCACTGATCCAAGCAATGGTTTCTAAAGAGGCAAAGTTATTCCGTCAACAACTTTGCAGGATCGTGGCTGATATAATTTGCCAATGGGCATTTAAAACGCTAGGACAAGGCACCCGTGCTACCGAGCTCGGTACAGTTAGAATGGAAATTGCATCAGACAGGAGAGGGCGAAGTAGTTCACAGTTCATGACGGGTCAAATAGATTACAGTTCCATCTTGAATGATCGGCGGGTCAAATTGCTTTTCTCCAAGGTGCTCAAATCCGCTAGCAAAAAACCAATTTTGATGCTCAAGTTCTATTGGACATCCTTCATAATATTTGCAACAGCTTCAGCAATGGCTTTTCACCGGATAGTTGTGTCCTTGTCTGAAGCCTATTTGGGTCCCATATCACTTGCTCCCAAGCAATACGCAGTCACCTCATGATGATGTATATAAGAACTCTGCTTACACTCCCTCCTCGGAACTAATTCTGCAGCAACAGATTACTCACAACACCCAATCCATAGCAGCCGAGTTCTGAGCAACGGCCCCCCTACCGAAAAAGAACAGAGAGATTGCACCAAATTTTCTGGATATTTAGAACTTCTAGTGCTCCAAGACTAATATATATTAGAGACGCAGATGGTATAGAGAACATATAATATGTATAGAATTTATAGTTGCTGTAAAAACTCGGGCATTTGTGAATTTCTATTCTTAAATTTCAGAGGGTTGAAGTCCAAGAAAACGGCAGCCTTCAAAGAATCCTGTTGTGCAATATACCCGAGCTATCTTTTAACTTCTTAGTAGCAACAAATAGCACAAGAAGATGCTTCATATTCTGTAAAATATCATCCAACAATTACGTACAGGTGAGTGGAACTCATTCTCCCAATATAGCAATCATGGCCAGATAAAATGGTACAGATATCCAGTAAACAATTCAATGTAAATCTTTCTTTTTCTCTCTATTTCTCTCTCTCTTTCTATGTTATGAAGTCTGAGACCTTTTATCTTGGAGCTTTACAGTAACTTGTGTTGCAACTGATGACATGATGTCAATCTTTGTTCTCTACTTGGCTTTTCAAAATCACCCATCTAAGACAGCGCCAGAAAAATACTGCTTGTGGACCATCTTTCTGTAATCTGGAGAACAAGAAAATAAACAATCAGCTTAGATATATGCCTTCATTACTCCGTGTTTATCATGAGAAGAGCAGCAATAAGAATTTTTCAGTCAATGGGGGCAGAGGGTGATCGACAGAGAGGGAGTCGAGTCCGACCTTCCGTGTTATTCCACAGAGCAGCAGCATAGCTGTTGAGAGGACTCTCTGGGTTGGGCTCTGCAAGTAAACACAGCTTCATAAGAGTAAAGGGTTGAGATTAGAAGATTGCCAAATATGCAGAAGGCAGAAATGAGCAAACCTCCTAATAGGCTTTGAATGGACAGAAGGATGGTTCTACAATCATATGCCGAAGACCACTTGTCCTATTGAAAAGGAAGTTACATCAAACATCAGGAGATTCGAAAAACCAACTAAACGAGCGACGAGGTGCTTTATATGCACTAACAAACTTCAATAGTAAACAACAAAGAAAAACATCAAAAGGATTTTTTGAAATAAACATACAAGCAAAAACACACCCCTGCATAATTAACCGATACCTGGAGAATGTCGAGACAAATGTTGCCATACTGATCGACATTTGGATGGAAGCACAGCGTCTCAAACTTGACAAGGGGTGGCTTGAAAGGGTAGTCCATAGGAAAATTTAAAGAGAGTTTGTAAGACAAACCCTCATATGCAGTTCCTTTCCCACCCTCAATTGTGCCTATCCACGTGAAAATGCTCTCACCTTCTGGAAAAGCTGATACACCAAGATCACCTCCACTCATCTATAGTAGAGACCACCATCAAACAAATATGGTTAATGAGCTACCCATAAGGTAGATAATTTCAAACCGTCTCGTGGCTGCAAAACCTTGTTCGACAACAAGAAATGAACTGTTTAGGAGACAATAAACCTAGTTTGTAACTCTTTCCAACCATTTCTTTGTTATGGCATGCGTAATAGTTTTCAAATAAAAAATTTAAGCTGATGGGTTGGATAAATTTAATTCATTTATGGATATCTAAACTCTTCTTCACTTGTGGACTTAGATAATTGTACGAGGCTCAAAAAATGGAAATCATTATAAATGGAGAGGAAACAACAAGGCAGAGTTCGAACATTGATACTATTTTAAGAATGAATAAACCACCACTCAACTCAAAAGGTTAAGCTGATGGATTGGGTAAATTTAATTCATTTATGAATATCCGACCATAGTGAAGCCACTAATAGCTTAATAGTTGTGAATACATGATATTAGGAAAAGTAGAGGCTGCAAAACAAAATTTCAAGAGGTTCGAAGAACCAGCATGGGGACATACTGAACTTGTTCTAAAAGAGGACCAAGGAGTGGATGGGACCATGATTCTGTATCAAAAGGGAAGAGCAGTAGATTACATATTTTCCAAATGAAGATCGATCACCAAACCCGTCCCCACAAGAATTGTCTATTCTCATTGTTTTGACCAACTATATGTCATCGAGATCGACTCAACAGAACTAAGTAATACAAAAATTTAAGGCTCCAAGAAACACCATGAGAAATGTAAAACTAAAATGAAACTGGGAAACATACCATCAGTGACATCAATTCCTTTTGCAGCCTGCAGCGAAATTAAGCAAAATGTCAAAATCACAAAGCTATAGTTGCAATTGACAAGAATTCAATCCGAAGTCCTGCTATGAAAAAATCAATCAGTAATCACTACAGCAGATTGATCAAAAGACTAGAACGTAACATCAAATTGGACATTCCTTAATTCTTGCCATCGTTTTCTTTTCTCTCTCGTCTATTCTTCACACTTCCCGCAATCTCGGGAGCGAAACAATCGGTAAACCAAAAGAATGGATCGGCAAGAAGTTTCACCTCTGCGCAACAGCGTTGGAGTCGATAGGATTAGAAGAAGCGGCAGGCTGCTTCAATGGAGAAGTGGTGAGATGATGCTGCGGGATCGACGAGTTGTCGGCCGTCGGATTGGGTCGTACCTCCATGTCCGCAACGATCAATAACAAAAAACGAAAAAGAAAAACCTCTCCAATTAGATCCAACGACGATCTTTATGCAAACAAACAGACAACAAAATGCACAAACCACCGCCGTAGACTCAAAATCCACGAGAAACAGCGAGAAAAATTTCAGTTCAATTCAGAAACGGAGGGAAAATCGCCAATATTTCACTTCGTTTCTCTGATTTTCCCGAGAAAATCCGCCGGATAGTGGAGAAGGTGGCTTTCACAAATTCTAATGCGAAAGGAAGTTAAAAGGATAATGAGAAATGAGATGCCATTTCTCCCAACAACTATCAATATTAAAATCCCTATTAATTAATTATAATATAAACGACAATAATTCAACTTTATAACTGAAAGATTATAATCTTGAAATCCCTTTCTTTTTTCTATACAAAAAATCCATCGGATCTTATTATTTAATTTTGTAAAAACTTGTCTTAATAAGAATAATTTATTGAGAGAAAATTCCTCCATTACATTAATTGAGCATTACCACAACAAATATAGTACAAATATACCAACTAAAGCATAACTGACTAATTAAGACATTTATTTATAAGTTCCGATTAAAGATCGTAATTTCGAATATTCACGTCATTGTTGTACTAAAAAAATAATAATATAGTACCAATATAATTGAAATTTTTAGGCATATGCAGCTCTTTTTATAGGTCTAAAATACAAAACTTACCTTTTAAATTTGTTAGTGAGATCAATGAATTTATTGGCAATTTACCATTTTTTTTAAATAAATGACTATTGTTTTAATAGTATCAAATATACCTATAATGTTTTAAAGAGATTTAGAGAAAATGAGTTAAATTTCGTGACGCCCACTACGATATTAAAGTCGTGTGAGTTTCTTGACAATCATATATCGTAAGTTAGATAATTGTCCCATAAAATAAGTTCAAATGCACCTAAGTTTCCCAAACACACACTTGCACTGCTAGGAAATGCATGTTAAGCTAATCCAAGCATAATTTAGTAAATGAGGTAAGCGGTCGGCCTGTGATTAGTCGAGGTGTACACAAGCTGGCCCGGACACACGGATTTAAAAAAAAATTTAGTAAATGAGATACATATTACCATTTCAAGAGTTGATGGTTCAATTCCCTATCTCGTGATCATTGGACTAAAGAAACTGTATTTTAAAATTAGGGAGAGAAAAAATAGTATACAGTCAAAAGTTGAAGTCCCTAACTAATATTTCATTCTCAATAGACAAGGGAGTGCAAGGCATTGGGCTTTTATTATGTKATGTTAGCAATGGATTGATAATCCTCACAGATATTGAATTTTATTTTAGTTTCATTTCTTTTAGGGGATGAGGATTTCAAAAGGAAATCTTAGTCTTATCTTATCAACTAAGATATGAAAAGGAGATACTCTTAAATATAAACCACCCACTCAAAAATATTAAACATCAAAATCAAGCATCTAACTAGTTGGTGCTCAATTTTCCAATAAAGATAATGAACCTTTTCGTTTAATTTTGTCTTAATCGTTATCCCAGCATTCATTAAATTAACCCTATCTTGACAAACCTTGTTTAATATATGAAATAAATATCCATCATAGAGTTTGAACTCATTCTTTCAAAGTTCCTTTATCTTTTTCCATATGCCCTCACAAATGAGCGACGTTTTGACTAATTTCGTAACTTTCATGCCACAACTGCTTAGATGGTATAATATTAGACATCAAAGAATTCCAACATATTTAAAAGCCCATAAAAGTGAGAGCTCATGGATTGGAATTTGAACCTATGACCTCAAACACATCAAATAACAGAACACCAAGTAAAAAGCTGTAAGAGGGAAAAGAATTAACTTTCTTGAGAATTAATACCCAGAAAATTTGGGAAAAGTAGTTGGTTCATTTCTCCCTATATGAAGCACAATAAAAGAAGCTAGTTGAAATTGCAAAGGCTATACTATTGTCCTCAAGTGTATAAAGATTATACAGATGTAGTATCTGCTGCCCTGTACACGAAGAACGTTCAAGAATACCATTTGGTGTGGCTGATTCCATCTCCCATGGCTAAATCATTTGGCAAATGAGAAGTCGGAGGGACTCCTACTGATTTCATGTTGAGAGCGAGCAGGACGTGTTGCGGTGCCAGGATCTGCTGAACTTGGTCGTTGAGCTGTCATCTCCTGTTCTCTATTTGTATTGGAATGTTCATGTTCTTGAAGATCATGGGCTMTACTACTATGGTGTGAAGAAGGAGGTAGCTCTTCGATGTCCCAGCGATCATGTTCAGCGTCGGATAGCCTGGGAGATGTGCTGCTGTGCTGCTGTTTGTGCAGAAGGTGAACGGGAGACATGCCATGAGTTGGAGTAGTTGGCCTGCTTGAGAATGGTGAGCTACCATCTGGGTTTCGGTTGTGCTTCATGTTCTTTTTGGCAGAGTGGTGCCAGTTCTTCAATGCCGTTGCCACCCGATCGTTGAAAATGGTCGGTTTCATGTTGGACCCCATCTGGAATCAAGTGAATACAAGTGATGAATGGCCTATTCTCCCTTGTAACTATTGTGAGTTCTAGATTTACTCAAGCTCAAGATAGCAGTTCTTATTATAATGATCTTGAAAAGATTAAAAGTATACAGAAGGGATGTCTGCTTAATATTTACCTGAGTCACAAGAGCATAGAGTGGGAGTGTCACATAACTGCATAGAACTTGTATAATGACCCTGAAAAAATTGTCGATTTTGGTTTCAGTTAGTGGTTTTCAGGCATGATAAAACACGGGTTGTTTTCTTAGAAAGTTGGTAGTTTCAGAAAGATTATGGCAGATCATCTTGTTAACTTACCCCATCGAGAGTCTGATGGCAATATCCTCAATTTTCTGATGGAAGCAAGATCTCAAGTTAAATGCATACTGAAAGAGAATTAAACACAGTATTAAAGGACGTTTGCTGCATATGATTCTCAGTGTTGTTAATTTCTAAAGTTAACAAAGAGAAAATAAAAACAAATACTATCAGATGAAAATGGAAGAGGGTTGGTCTCAATGGAATTGCTTACTGTGGTCCAAGCAAAGAAGGCAAGCTGAAATGCATTCTGCAATCACATAGTGGACGTCATTTTTTCGGGGAGGAAAGCAAATAAATTGTAGAGACATAAGTAACACTTCTAAAAAGACATTAAGTTGGCTTTTGAGAAGGAAGTACCTGAAAGAGAACAAAGTGAATCAGAAAAAGAATGAGACGAGGACGTCCGAACCAAAAGAGGTCGTCCCGGGGTTGAACAACGGGAACACCCTTAACGACATGGCCCCTTTCTTGAATTGTCAATCCCATCTGGGTTATGATAACATGGAGCTTCGTTCCCACCAATAGAATTATCTGTGCATTATATTCAATTGGTAAAAAGTTGAATGAGCCATGAAACAAGACTATTGCTTAAAGTAAAAGTTGAAATATGGAAATGTGCTTACAATTAAGGAGATGAAAGGCAGCCATAGGTATGAATACCACCCTGACAAGGAATCAAAAAAAATACAAAAAAAAGAAAGAAAAKCATTTCTTCCCAATTATGAGAGATTAAAGGAACTAAACAAATGACAAGTACAATGGTCCATAATGCAGCGTTTGTAAGTTTACCATGTGTATTGGTCAGAATGAACAGAACAGCAAATAGCCACATCACTGGACTGCAGATTAGAAGATTGGTCAATTTTAAAATGGATATCAATAAGTGAAATCAACTTCATTTATATAATTAAAAAACAAACCTAATCCCCACAACCACTTTGAAGTCCTCTTCAAGAGATCTGCTAATGTATTTGTGGAAATCGAATTTTACTTCACTTCCGGGGGCCAAATGTGCCTGAAAAATGTCTCAAGTTAAGAAGTATGAACTTTCAGAATCATTTTAAACAACCTATATGAAAAGTGGAGTCTATGCAATTTCACAGATTCTGCTTACAACGATGAATCCATGTCTCAGTGTCATGTAATCAACCTTGGTAACTGATCCAAAGAATTGTCTGAAGAAACAAACCTGCGTGACAGATTATGGACTGATGAACATCACGTATAATTTCACTGTCGTTCCAGATTTCATTTTATTTAAACCATAAAATACATACAGAAATACAGTGGGAAGTTCAAACTATATGATTTAAAATCAGATGCAAAAATCAGGAGACTAGATTTCAATGAAAACATTGTGAAAGTTATATATATGTACTCATCTGTATCTCTTTGATTATTTTCAATCAAAACATTGATATAGGATTTAAAAGACCTATCACCCTTTATAATGATTTCCTAAGAGTTTCCAGGAAGAGTGAATAATTTTAATTCTACACAGGTAGCCAAAATCAAACTCATGAGAAAAATTCTTGATTTAATTTTATAACAAACACTCACTATCCAGAGGGAAATTGGTSTACGACTCCAAAGGCTCAAGTGCCGGCGTCCAAACGTCGTATCTCTTGCAAATCTAAACCTTGCTGGATCTGCAAGACACAAATTTATCCTTTTGTAAGTAATGAATTGCCAAAGATTTCTAATGAATGCATCTGCAGTGAAAGATGATAAGCATTTGACAGCATGACAATAATTGGGGGCCTAAGCAAAATCCATGCTTCTCAAAATGATATCATGGCTCCAAACTAGATGAAGCAAAATATACAAAAACTATATAAAAAAAAGGACTTCATCCGAGGTTGTTGAAAAATCATCTCCAACTTGTATGAGATTCTATCAAATATTCATAATAAGAAGCACTGTTAATAGCTGGTCCTGTTAATTGATATTTGAAAGCTTGTGAGTAAAGCACTGTAAAATCTAGTCATTTAAATGGAATTTGAAGGAAATCAAACCATTATAGTACTGGTATTCAATTGTCTTTGTCTCATCCTCCCAGGTCTTCCATTTGTTCATCTACAATAAAGGAATTCATAAGAGAGAGAGAGAGAGAGAGAGAGAGAGCTGCGAGGAAAAAGTTAGACTACCTTTGTTCTACCAAAAGCCAAAGTGAGGATGCAGTATAGGACGTGGAAGACGGCCAATACAAAGATGAAAATATGGAGCTGGTGGATTCCATATGCTGACACAAAGGCGAGTTGGCCCTGCAAAAATGTTCAGCCGAGAAAGCTTTAAATCACTTGGGATATATAAGCGCACTCAATTTCTATTTTAATGTCAATTACATTTTTGCAAATCTATTATTAAATTAGAAAATGAAATACTGCAACAACTAGTAGAGAGAGTTAAACTTCCAACAAGAACCATTTTTTGTTTAAGCTTTAAGATGTTGTTCTTACCCTATCAGTGCAGTAATCTTTTCCTTTTGAGGCTAAAATACGCCTTGAACCATAGTCAGGATCTAAAAATTCAAGAAGTTTTAGACGGCTATTCTTGGAAACTGGTTCTATTTTTTTTGCACATGGAAGCCAAGTTGCCGCAAGGTCCTTGGAAACGCAAATTTGAGTAACAGCATCTTGGCCTATTGTTAGAAGTAGGGATATGAATCCCAACAGCATAAGCTCTTCGCGAGACCATCAACAAGAGAGAAGGGAAAGAGAGAAGGGAAAGAAGAGAGAAATAGTTAGCCTTTGACATAAGAAAAAAAACATTTCCCCAAAAGTTGCAGTTACTCGATGGGCCAGTACCTGCTTTAATCTTTTCAAGAGCTTCAACAAGAGCTGGCTTGTGTCTTTTTTCCAGCCACTGCGAGAAAATGAAGGTTTAATCAACATAACATAAAAGATTCAAGCAGCCATAGAGAAGCACAACTTCAGCAAAAGATAACTTCTGCAGTGCCAAATATTGAAAAACACATTATAAAGTTCTATCATCAAGCCAAAACCAGCATTCTACTGAAATTCTGTACTTGGAAAAGGCATGATGCCGCTTAAGCTTGGATTTAACAGTTTGAGGCATTTCCAATTGTGGAACACTTGGAAGAACGCCTACCTTTCCAGTGAGGTGAATGATATGTTCAATGAAGATTGAAATAACAACCAACACAAAACAAATAACCGCAACAGCCCAAGTTGAAGTATCTTCCAAAGTACGCTGTTCTACAGATTTATCCATTGATAATGGAAGTTCTCTCCTTATTAACAGAAACAAAACTCTCAAGCTTACAGCAAGGAAATGAAAGACTGGAAGGAGAAGGATGAGGCAAGAAAATGCAGATGCAAAGTACCACTGTCTTCGTACTGTATTTATATTTTCTTATGCCAAATGCCAATGGAGGTGGTTAGTTAAAGACTTAAAATTAAGCTTGGGAAAGTCTTCTACCAATAAAAGAGGAAATGAATGATGACTCACATCCCTTTGACCCTTTCCTAGAAGGGTTTGTCAAAGGATGAGAGAGAAAATGGACCATGTTAGATTGCGCTAGACTAGAGGTTTCACTTTAAGAAATTTAAATCATATATTATATATTACTTTTTTCAAAGCATGAGTTGATTTTCATATCTATAATGTATTTTTTATTTGTTTCACAGTCAAACTAAGGGTTTCTGGAGGTATTTTGAAAGAGAAGAAAAGAAAAATAAAAACTTTCTGTTTTTCTAAAAGTTAAGGTTAACGTGGGTGTGAAATCATTGTTTATATGCCCATAAATTTGGAAGATAAATAAACATCATTCATTTTAAGAAACTATAACTTATAAGGAAACAAAAGGAGTAAAAAATAATTATTCAAACTTTTGCCTTAAAACGTATACTGTTGCTTTTCGAAACAGCTCCCAAGCAACTTCAATTATTACAGTTAAGCAGATTCTTTCAATCATTAGATAAACAAACTACATTTTCATCACGTGACATGTAGTTAGGATAAACAAACTACATCAATTATTAAATTAGGATTAAATCGATACCTGGTAACAAAATATTCTCACCAAGCTGAGGTAAAAGGATTGAACTAGAATAAATCAAAACAATGATCCACCCAAATCAGGTAATTACACATATTAATTCAATCAATCAATCAATCATCAAGGAATTAATTACTGCATTGACTATCATTACGTATAGACTTTGGAGTTCTGTATAATTCTCCTGCAAACAGCTATTTTGAACTTATCATATATTCGAACAGTCCAAGAAAATTTATTGACCTTACCAAGCATAGCAGCAACGTTTGACGCGCCAAAATTGACAAGTCTTCTCCACTCAACATCCGAAGGGCCCTCCAATAATTCAATGCACGTTAAACCCTCATCCCAGTGGCTGAAAACGAGCGCAAAACAGGACAATTCCAAACGCGACAGATTCGTTCCCACATAGACTTGTTCTGAATCTGAAAATCTCAAACAAATTAGGGCAAGTTAACTAATTAGCCAGAATTATTGGAGTCTTGATTAGCCGTAGATTTCCGGCAACTCGTTGCTGTTGGACTTGGATTCAGAAACTTGAGGGCCAGGGAGCTCCCCAAATTTGACCGTAGATAGCAAGACAAAATGCTCGAATAATTTTCCATCTTACTAGAAAATTTCTGGAGTACTTCGTTTAAGCGAATCATCCTCGATTCCAGAAATTAAACGAGATCTGTTAGGATGTAAATTTAGCCATGAATGAAATTCTCTTCGGATCGTTCCTTGGGGTACAAGAAAATTTGTGCACAATCTTGAACTTGAATGGAATATTCACCGGAGAGAAAAAAAAAACTTTCCAGGGTTTTATTTCTAAATTATTAGAGAAAGAACAGTAATTTACAAATAAGGTTGTCTTAAGAAATTTTTTTCTTTTTTTTTTTCTGAAATTAGGTTGTCTTAAGAATTATTTTGACTTTTAGCTCAAATTAGTGGATGAAATGTGAATTCTACGTTATGGTATATGATATTGGACCAGACATGTTTTTAAATTAAATGACAAGTAAATTAGTGTTGTTTTGATAGGTATCGTTAACGTCGTTTTCTTCTTGTTAAATTATTTTTCTTATATTAATCTTATTGGCCTATATAGTGAAATCAAGTGTTTTAGYTTATTTTTTATTGGTTTGTCGATTAATAACAAGTTAAAAAATGTTGATTTTTTTTCAAATTAAAAATGAGTAGGTCTAAGTCGATGTCAAGTTTCATATCTATTATGACTAACTCGTTTAAYTTTGCCAAACCGAGCATAGCTCAAATGGTTAAGGCATCTATCTCTGACCAAAAGATAATGAGTTCGAACTCCCACCCATACATGTTGTACTAAAAAAAACTTATCATCTCTCGTGGGTCAAAACATTGGATAAATTATAAAAACAAAAATCCCAAAAATATAGATATAAAAATGGACCAAAATCATAATTAATAGTGAAAGACTTTAATTTTAAAAAATGGTCATATAACTATATTTATTTCCTTTTCTATCTCCTTCRTGTAATTCATAAGGTTTGAAAATGGGGAATTTTTTAATTTTGGAATTTTAAATATAAGAAATTAATAGTACTCCTATTTATCCTATCAAACATTTCTCATTTAAATTGTATTTAAATTTTTTTAAAAGTAAATTCTTACTCTTTAAATTTTCTTATTCAAGTTTTTCAAAAAGTTACAAAAGATGTTATAAAAATAGTATATATAGCATTAGGATTACAAGTTTTAAAAAAATACGAAAACTTATATAATCGCATGAGATAAACCAAATGTCATTTTTGTGTTTTTTTTTAAGAGATAAAAAGTCATGATATTTTTTAAAATACATATTTTATCATTCTTGTGACGTTTCTTAAAGAGATAAAAAGTAATAATATTTTTGTAAATAGCATATTTATTTTATGTTATTCAGTACAATTTCTACTTTTTAATTTAGAATGGAGAGAAGAAACAATAGACTGTTATTCAATATTTTTGTTCCTTTTTTAATAAAAACAATTTTTTGTAAAATCATAAATAAGAAATGAAACATTATCCTAGCTAGCCATAGAAATGGTCCTACCCATTTTTATGGGATATGCCTTCCAAGCATTTGTTGACAGACAAAAGTCACATCCCCTAATAAATTATGCCCTTTGCAACTTGCAAAACCAACACAAACAAATATCATTCAAAAATTACCCAATTTAATTTAATAAATATTTTGATTTTATATGTTGGAAAGGAAAATACAAGACACATGTACCAGTCAACTCAGCTCGGTATCATCGCATCCATTCAACCAAGCTAACGGAGGAGACCAATCACCTACACTCAGGATCGAGTTAAGGACCAAAACTGACACGGAAACTCGTAAAAGTTATCTTCAACTGACCCAAGGGCTATGACCTCAGGTCGACAACCGACCTGGGACCCGATAGCTGCAACCGTCGGTCGGAGTGGTTCCAATAGTCTTATCCTCTCTTATCACCTATAAAAGGGACACTTCATCTCTTCGTTCAAGTACGCAAGTTTGCTCCAAAAAAAATTTACTGTAGCTCACAGCTCTACTAACTTAAGTGTCATAGTGTTTGTTCCTTTTGAAAGTCCTTTTTGCTTAAGATCGTACCTCGCTAGCTTGTCCCCACACGTGGTCGATATTTGATAGCTCGACATTATATATCTTCATGTTTTTTTTCCTTTTTCCTATTTTTTTCGTTTTCCATTTAGTATGACATCAATATGATGTCATAATAACACGCCAAGTTAATTATTCTTCTCCAAAGAAACTCATTCAATTTCATCAAAAGAAACTTTTGCAACCAAATTTTAGAATTTCAATAAATCACGCTTATTTTAAATTAGAGACCAACCAACACATCACTAACTCAATTCAATACAAAATTTTCAATAAAATGCAATCTCATAAGGAAAGTTATTGGTTTGATTCGACGTCGTAGAAATATCTAATTTAAAATATCGGACGAACTTGACTAAGGTATACATTTTCAACCAAAAGACCAAACTAGATGTGAGATGTGGTCCCAAATTTGACGTCCTTTCCCCATGTCTTAAATGAAGGTTTGTGTAGCTATAGGATATTTTCATTGTTTTCAACCCCCTCTTTGTAATGCCCACTTGCAATTTTGCAAAGGGCAATTGGATGGTAGGGCCATAGCATTTTATGACTGAAATTTAATGAATTTGCCCATGAGGATAATGGTAATAATTTGATGGGTCATCAATTGCCTCAAAGTTAAGTTCATAAGAATTTGGACCTAAAAAAGGTGCATCATAATTCATAAGTATTGATATTTTTTTGTTGTGTGATTTATTTTTTTTAATGATTGAAGTGAATGTAAATTTGGATCAAAGTATTCGGTAGAGAAAATAAACTTCGAATATTAGATATTGAATGTGATCCTCGAGTGACCTTTATTTTTTTTTTTAATGAGTTTGATGGTTTGAAAATCAATCTTTTGAAGAGAGGTGCATTATGGGTTATTATTGAATAAAGGAAATTTATTCATATTTGAAAGTATTTCATTAAATTTTGTACACATTTTGAAAATTTTAACCAAATTGTAAAAATTGAAAGAGATATATTTTTTAATTTTGGTTTAAATTTTAAAAATATATCACAAAACAGATAAATTTTCAGTAATAACTAATAAGCTTTTTTTTTCTGGAAAAAGTTTTAGAAAACAGAAAAATAAAAAATTTATAATGCCCCTTAAAAATCATGTTTTGAAAGAAATATATATATAAAGTGGGCCCTTGAAAAGGGTCCTTGAATGGGTTCTTCTTGGGTGAAGGACTTGGGTTTGCACTAAGCCCATTTTCCACTGGATCATGGGCCTTGATCATTATGTTCCTCCCTCAAATCCCAGGCCCAATAATTCACTGAATGAAAGAGGACATATGTTTGAGATAAAGTGATACAATTAAAATTGAAATTACAATTCTTTTCTAAAGAACAATCAATTATCTCAACAACATTAAAAATATCAAAGGCATGTTTTTAAAAAAATTTAAGCTAAATTACAACTTTGTTACCTCAACTTTGGTTTCAAAAGATACGCCACTTTTGATGTTATGTCTAATAAATTCTAAATTTTTAAAAATATCTTATAGATACATAAACTTAAAAAAAATGTCTAATAAATTATTGATTTTTTAATTTATGTATTGAGATACTTCTTAAGTTAGGACCTATTATGAGATATAGTTTCGAAAGTTAAAGGACTGAATTTGTAATCTAACTTGAAAATTATATATATATATATATATATATATATATATATATATATATATATATACTTGGTTCATTAATCAAATCAATAGAATTGAAAGAACTAAATGTACCATAAAAACAAACCAAACGACTCACTTCAATTTGGTTCATTTTTTCAATTTTATGTACATTGTTCTTGCGTGGAAATTAAATATCCTGATATGTACTAAAAGAGTTTTTGAAGTTCGCACGATTGATAATTCATCTTGAAATAACTTCGAAAATTATTGACTTAAGCATCAGAGTGTGGTTTTTCTTTCTTGCAGCTTACTCAATCACCTCGAAACATCATTTCAGTACATCTCAAGACATTTCATTTTCAGGAAATATGCTTGAGATAAAAAGTGGAAATCCATCTTTATATGGAGAAAAAAAAAACTAGGCAAGAAGTCTATACAAAAAAAGTGGGGGGGGGGAGAATAAGAAAGGCCAAGAAAAAGAGAGGTTTGAGACCAGTCTCTCATGCTGTCTAAACTGAAAAAGTGAAGAAACAACTGGAAATGGAGGATGGAATAATATTTCTTCTCCCTCTTAATAAAGTTGTTCTTTCTTGTCATGCAACCATCTCCACCTGCCAAAGATTATAAAAATAAAAATAAAAAATTACATATAAAAATCTCATCTAAAATTCTAAATTAACTTAGCTTTGAAATAAAGAATCTAATTCTTTTGAATAAAACTTTGTGTTAAAATAAGGGGATAGAATTAAAGAACCTAGTTCCTTTTCCATGATATCTATTTGTTTTAATAAAGTTATTGGATTTTTCTTATCTAAAGTAATTTTAATTTATCAAAAGCTTCGGTTGCATTTTTCTTCGTATTCCGCCGTATGTCAAGGCCAAGGCCAAGGGCATCTTGGAAAGTTTAAAAAATATACCCTAATTATTCCACCCTGGCACTCGTGTTATAAATAAATATAAAAATTATAAAAGAAAGAAAAAGGTGGAAAAAAAAAAAGAAAAAAGAAAAGTAGTAGTGTTAAGTTAAGTTTACCAATAATAGTCCCATCTGGGTCGGACTTTGGTCATGCGGTTGTGGCCGTAGGGGTAGTCGGATTCGGCCCTCTTGGTGTTGCGGAAGGCGCAGCAGCCGACGGAGTAGACGCCGATCAGGAGAACCACCACCACCACGTTCAGCACCGACAGCTTGTGCCAGTCCCTCCGCACGCTCTCCAGCACCCCCGCCTTGCACGACTCGCACTCGTAGCACAGCACGTTCCCCGCGTTGTTCCACCGGTAGCAGTCCGGGTCCTGCGCCGCCATCGCCGCCGTCTCGTAGTTGCACGCCGTCGGCGGCTTGCAACAACCCGACTGTCCACACAACTTTACATTATAACATTTTGTTTTTCAATTTTCTAAGCAACAAAATTCAAATCTAAATGCAGTAATATTAAGAGATAACAAAATTGCTATCAATAAACCTATTAAGCACTTTTGTTTAGTTCATCAATCATAGAAGTTACGAATCGAACGTCGTGAATAGTAATAGTTACGTCCTCATCTATTGAACTATACTAAATTTGTAATTTAACGAAAAGAAAGCATGCAATTCACCTGAATTGGGGTCATATCCCTCTCAAGATAATCAAGAGGAGTCCAAGAGGCAAGTTTAGCACAAGTCCTGGATCCCAAAAGGCAGCTCCTAATGGTAAGCCAATACCTCGGATCCTTAATCCTATTCCTCAGCCACGCCGAGTACTCCTCCAAGTGGTACTCTCTATAAACCCGGCCCCCGGGCGCCTCGACGCCTCCCCCGGGCCCCGTGACGACGAATCCAAAGATGGTGAGCCCCATGAGCGTGGCTATGAGAAACAACATGACCACTAGGTAAACCCAGAGCGCCCAAACGACGTTAAAGCACGCGCCGATGAAGCCAGCGAGCGAGACGACGAGGACGACGAAACCAACCACAAGCAGCGGCGTCTGGAGGAAGCTCTCGCACGTCGTGCTGCTCCTCGCCATCCATAGCCCGCCGCCGATTATGGGGATTGAGGCTATGAGGGTGAAGAGGTTTAGGAATCCGATCACTGTGTTGCTGAATCTGTACATGTCTTTTGTTTATGTTTGGTTTCTCTCTTTTGGTTTTCTTTGCTCCTTATTCTTCTTCTTTTTTTCTCTCTTTAAATGGGTGGTAAGTGAAGATAAGAGTGCAATGAAAGAGATTTTCTTTTGAGCTATTTGGTTCACTATTAAATATTAGCAGAAACAAAAATACTTGTCTACACGTGGCGCGTTTTCTTTAACGATGGGCTGGTCATTCAAAATTTGACAAGTTTTTAGATTTTTTTAGAAAATAGAAAAATTAAAATTTTTTTTTCTACCTTTCTCTTTTCTACTCGTCACAAATTATATGTGCTAACGTGTAAGTGTCTAAATATTTTTTAAAAATAGACTAATAAAATTATGTCACATGCGTCAAAAAGTCAATATTAGATTCAAGTGATTGGTGCGTGGGCAAGTAAATTATTCACATCGAGAAAAAATAGGACCTTACATAAGTTTATATTAGATATGGAACTACTTCTCTCATTGCCAATTAATTTTGAGATGGAACTCCATAAATATTAATAACCAACACCTCCTAAATTTATTTTTATAGAAAAGTTAAATCAACTTCACCAACATGGCACTACTCAATACTTATAGCATTACAACCAAGAATGCTCGTATTTTAGAAGCGGAAAAAAAAGGTACTATTAATACGTAGATAATCAAATCTCTTCTTGGAGATTTGAATCCTCACCATATTGCTTTTGAATTTTTTTCATAAAAAAATAAGTATAATAATTTACTTGACACGAAAGTACTTGTTGTTATAAAAAAAATTGACTCACTAAAATGTTGGTGTACTTATAACTAAACATCTCATAAAAATTATTATTTATAAAACTCATATATTGTCATTCTTTTAACTTTGGTGATTCTAAGGACCTTATTGAAAAAAAAAACCATAAAATTCAAAAGAAAAAAAGGACCCAATTGAAAAAATATCGAATATTAGGGACTAAACTATATATTTAACTTATTACTGTTTAAAGTGGTGTGAGAACTTTATATCTTGCATGTGATAGGGACAGACCTCTGCTTCTTACACATTAAGGAAGTCTTTTTAATTGTTTAAAATTGGGACAGGAAATAAAGGGCTTTTTAGTAAAGTTAGAGGTTGTTTAAGAAATTGCCTTTTCCTTTGCAATGAGAAAAAAAGCTCTTTTTTTATATAGTTTCTCCATCTTTTTAATTATTTTTTTGTTCTCAATATTGTTTTGAAGGAGATGAAAGTTTCTCCTTTTAAAAAAAAAAAAAAAAACAAAACAAAACAAAAAGGAAGCATAAAAGGGAGAAAATTGTGAAATTTTTGCCAGAATTATTTATTTTAAAGTCATATTAAATATTAAATGAGTCAACTAAAAACAAATCATTCCAATATATATAAGAATAAGGAACGGGCCTGTGATGAAATGAAATCGTGTTTTCAGTATACGACTTTTTTGTTGGGTTGATCAAACTTTAGTTTACTCGTCACTCCTTTCAAAATTGTCGTATTTCTTTTTTTAAATCTTTTAAAAATTTAATTTTGATCATACAATATTAATTTTATTTTATAAAAAGGGAAAATCCAAAGACGATAAGTCATGTTAAAGAATACAAAGTGCTTTTTGAGAAGTTTTGTTCCCATTGCATTTTGGTTACCTTTTAAGGCAATTGGGCGCCGTTTGGCTTCTTCAAGAAGCATAATCCGAATCAGAATTAGTTTATCCGTGAGTGGGATAGAATATTAATTATATGGATGATTTTGGCCTTCTCGTCTTTCTTTTTCCACCATTAGATTTTATTATTATTATTTTGCAAAGGTAATTCCACCATTATTATAATTTAATGTCTTGGTGTGATTCCCTTTTCCACTCCACCATCCATTGATTTAATTTCTTTGATAATGCCAATAATTAGGCAACATAATGATGGCTTAATTTTTGGATGCTTCCATTCTTGATTATCTTATGATTTGGAGATACATTTTCTTTTCATAATTGATTATGATCATAATTTTAAAGAGAGATTTCACTATCTCGTAGATTTTATTATTTAAGGTTATCGTTAATTAATCTCACCTCGAGCTATGATTTCTCTAACATTGGTGGACCATAGAATTATGGTTAGCTCCAAATTTTGATTTGAACCACTAAAGTAGTATTGAGATTATATATTTAAAAGAGAAAAATTAACCTCTGCCCACCCACCTATATATTGTTTTGGATTTAAATTTTATTCGGATACTTTGAACTTTTAAACGTCTATTATAATCTCTAAACTTTCAAAAAATAGTCGTGTTTAAACCTTGCAAGGACCAATATGGGAGTTCATGGACTAAAATATACATTTTGAGAGTCCGGAGACCAAAATGAGATTTAAATTTTCTCTCTACTAAACTGTCCCACTAGACCAACACAAAATTTCTAGTACTACGAGAGTACCATACTCCCTCCCATTTACACAATAAGTAAAAGAAATTGACCTCTCATTTTTACTATACTTCTGATATAGCAGTAGTAAATGGAAGGAAGTATGGTACTTGCGTAGTACCAAAAATTTTCCTCGTAAAGTCTAGGGTTTTGAAAGTTTAATCAATAATTAAATTCAAACATGACAATATTTTAGCTAATCCTACTTCAATTCCTTTTAACTTTTGCATTATTCCACTCATGATCTTTGTTGCTCAAAACTTTTGCTTCTAGGTTTTGCTGTGCAGCTATTATATGTTAATCAATGGGATAATTATTTTGGCAGTGGAATTGTAAATGAGAGATATCCTTTGCCATTGAACCCACCAACAGCCTCTTTATAAATTTCCCACAACTTTGCAAAGTGAAGGGCAGTGGGGTCTAACTTGGGGTTGGCCATACCTCTCAACAACCCAACAGGATTAGAACAAGACCTGCAAAATGAGCAAGAACAGAAACATATCCATCATTTTCAGAAGGTTCGGGTCCTTAACGTGGAGCCTTTGTAAAGCCAAAAACCGAAACCGAAACCTCGGGTCTCTTCTCTTTAACTGTTATTAATGAATGCAATCAGCAAAAGTTGTTCAATCCTGTCAAGGAATAAGATCATGAAGAAAGTGCTCTAGAAGTGAGATTTTGGTACTCCACAAACAATTAGATGATGTTACCTTATTGATACAATTGTCTGCTGAATGACAATACATTTGCTGAAAGAATGGAGAGACAATAAGATAAGAATGATGATATTCGATGCAAGAATAATGGCACTCAAGACGAATGCTTCTCACACTCTGGTCTTTTTCCCGAGATCTTCTGTACAGAAAACCGTTCTATTCTTCTTTTGCTATAAATTTAACTATGCTTATCTTCAACGTGGCATCGGCTTATTCTCCAAAAATGATCTAAAAAGAATGAATGCTTGACGAGGACGGTGGAGCGGGACCTCATGACCCGCTCCAGCCACAGTAACGAATGTCAGCCCTTTGTATATTTGGCTCCATCCACCTACCTATATCCCCATAGAATTAGAGCTTGTAAGAACATATGCAGAAACAACCATTATACTAACAAATCAGAGCAAAGAGTCTTTTTCATTGCTCCAAGAGACAGGAACTAAGTAAAATGGATAAAGAATAAAGTACATGATAATAATTGTTGTTTATGATAATTGGGTTAGGTTGTATTCAGCATCACATCCTATAATAATATCTTCTTTTGACTAAAGCAAAAGAAAGATTTAAAAAATTGGGGGGGGGGGGGCTTCTGGTCTTCGGTCCCAGTAATATCGTTAAAGTAACAATTTAGTCTAGTCCTTGAACTTTAATATGTAACAATTTAGACGTTGAAGTCCAAAGTTTGTAACAATTTAATCTCTATCATAAAATGCTGTTAAGATTTAATAGAATTTCTTATATATGTAGAATGATAAACTAACGAAGAACTAGATGTATTTATAAATTACAAAGACTACATCGTTACAAATTATAAACTATAGAGACTAAATTACTACATACTAAAGTTCAAGAAGTACATTGTTACCAATTTGAAAGTACAGTGACAAAATCGTTACTCCAATGAAATTAGACCAAAAGTATTTTTTAACCTACTAAGTGAAATAAACAAAATAAATGTGTACTTTGCAATCTACCTTCACAGTGACAAGCAATACTTAACTTTAGTCTATAAATCAAGAGAGTTTCTTGTTCTAAAAAAACTAACCTTTCCATGGTCATACCAGGGATACCAGTTGCTTACAGTTGGGAGTTTTAAAGCATCGATGGAATATCGTGTTGCTGTCACGGGAACCACTGAATCAGTGTCACCGCTGAAGAGAGAAAATTCATCAGAAGCCATAATCAGCAGAAAGGAAGAGTAAAAACAGAACTCCTGACTATTATATTTTGAAAAGAAGAATGAAAATTAAAGGATTTTACAGGTTCAGATTGGACACTGCTCTTTTATAATCAAGTTTGGGCTCAATGGAGGTGACCCATTAAACAAGAACTTCTTTAACCTCATGACTCAATTTCAGAACTCATATGTTCATTCTGTTTCCTCACTTATTTCTTTAGTGTTCCAGTTTCCTGCCCTCAAAACATTTTCACTTTTAGTCTAATATTTGATCATTTCATTTCTGACACTTGCATCTGCCAGGGCCTTTGGCCTTAAATGCTTGAGATATCTAATTCTTTTTTTATATTCGATGTCCAGGCCAACTTGTGCACACCTCGATTAATCACATGGGACAACTGTCTAACCCTACTAAATCCTAAGCAAATGGCCACCATGGTTTCAACTCATTCCCTTTAAAGCTTTTACTATTTCCATAGCCCTGAGAATTTATGAAGAGTAATTTTACTTTAAAACTGTACTATTTGTACCATCAAAATTTATCACAACAGTCATTCTATTTCTTTTGCAGAAAGTTTAAGGTTTTTCTTTTGATATAGAACGTGAACTTTGAGGAATTCGAATTTAAAAGAGTATGTTCACATCTTCATAGCCTCAGACCGAGTGTCGAATAATACAAAGAGTAGATCATAAGCCAAACAAGACTTGGAGAGCTAAATAGTAAACTTAAGAATATAAGGATTCTGAAGCCCGCTAAAGTTTAACAAAGCCCAGCAGCAGAGAGCTCTTATGAGTACACAAAATCAGGCTTCGTTGGATTGGAGAAATATCTAACTATATCAGGCAGTGGGGGAAAGAAAACGTGAACTACCTGTATACCCAAATTCTGAGACCAGCATTAATCAGTTCTTGATATATAGGAAGCATAGAGAGCGGAGAATCGGCCCAGTAGGTCCCAACAAGATTACTGTAAAAGAAAGAATTCAGAAGACCGTGCAAGCACACAAATAAAAGAGCTACCTCAAGTATGCCATAAGAAAACTAACCTGCATGTACTCCATGGGTAAATAATCCCAGTTACATTAGCATGGAACGCCTTCTGAACATCGGGGTGATTGAAGTACGTGACAGAGTACCTCTCAGTGCATGGATCATATGCTCTGGACATCCATGGCTGAATTTGAAGTAAAAGCTCAATATCAACTAAAACTCTCTCCACAGTTTAAAAGGACAAATCATATCTAGATTTTGGCAAAAATCCGGCAGACACATTATGCACACACTTGAAAATCTCATAGGTAGAGTAAAGTTGATTGGTACTTCGGTTAGTAATGAGATAGTGATCAATATAAATATTGAAAGAACCCCTTCCTTTATATAATATAATTGTAGGGTATGGGAGATTAACTGAGCCACTTACTTTTTACAAACGTAACGTAACGCCTTAGGCTAGATATCTAATTCCTGTTAACAATTTCTTTGACGGAAATGAGAAGTATTCTAACATCTATTGTGTTTATATAGAAGATCGACTGTGCTTACATAATGGCCCCTCAGGTTATGCCTCAAAGATCCAGTACCATTGCACGGCTTAGTGTAAATGCTATATGGATCGATATTTCCTTGTTCGAGCTCTGCAACTAAAAGAGCTTTCTTGCATTCTACTGATGGGTGCTGAGAGGATCCAAAATCACACGCACGTCGTAGCAGTCGATAGGTCAAATCAGATATCAGACCATGAGTCCACCAGTACTCGAATGTGCCAACAAAGTCATGGTAGTCATCAGTGACAGCATTCCCCACCTAACAAAGAGAATCAAGGCACTTGAGCAATAGTTACCTTAAAATAAACATCTGCCAGTTCAATACTATCAACCACAATGTGATAGACTCTAATTCATTACCATAAATCCCTTGAAATTTATAACTGGATTCTGAATTCCCTTATTTCTTTCATAAATTAACTGTGATAGCTGAGGAACATAGTGACCTGAAAAGGCAGAAGATGAATTTACGCCATTATATCGAGTTTCAAATATGCACTAGTTCTAACAATTGAGGAATGCAAAGAAACTCAGACCTGCATAACTCTCTCCAGCAATATAAAAATCTCGGTGCTTGTACTGAGGAAACCTTTCAAACCAATTGACTAAAAAATTGTATGCATCTTCAGCTAAAAATGTACAAGACCAAGAACCCATATCATCTGAGCATGTCATTTTAAACCAGAGAATCAGTAGACGCGTCATGCTAAGAACTTGAAGATGAAGAAATACCTGTTTTCTGGTCTCCTACAATGTACAAATCTGATGTAGTATTGGAGTAGGAAAAGCCAACACCAGCTGGGGATTCTAGGAACAGCAAATTTGCTACTGCAATGGATCAGGAGAGATAACATAAGTTTTTTGCCCACAATTAGATAAAGAAAACTAAACAACTAAGAGACACATACAATTGTTCCAAGCATATTGATTCAAGTAAAGGGTCCTCCCATCAGACTTAATGTGGAAAGGTCCAATTTCTTCAGCTGCTCCATAGGCAACAGAAGAGCAACCAGGGCCACCATTCAACCACAATACAAGAGGCCTTGAATTCGGTACACGGCTAGTTGGCGCCTCGGTCAGCCAATAAAACAATGCCCTCCCAGCTTGCTTATCCACAGTAACATAGCCAGAATACTGGGCAAAATCCACATTCTTTGGCTGCCCTGGCAATTGGGTGATCCTATCTCTCTCTTGCTCAGTGTAGTAAGATCCGTGGGAGATTCCCACGAGAGAGAGGAAGCAAATCAGATAAAATAACAAATGGCTCATCATTACAAGTGAAAACTGCAAGTTTTTAGCTTACGAAATTGGGATCTTGAGATTGACAAGGAAAAAAAAAGGGAACCCAAAAAACTCAGATCCCAGAATATCTCCTTCCTCTGGGTTCCCGAAGAATTGATCCTACAGAAGACACAGACGTAGAGACAGTACAGTCGCCATGGTTGAAATTCGTGCAGATTTTTCATTAACTCCTGGCCAGAATTGGTCTGAAAGTGATTTGTTGTACGTAAGGTCCTGAACAGTGTAAAACAAGCATTTGCCGCGCGTTTTTTAGTGGGTTGTTCATGAAACGCCCGCTTATTGGATTAAATTTTGTTTTCTTCAGTCAGGCTAATTGCTAGAGCAGAGTCGGCACATGGGGTTGGCTCTAAACTTTCAAGCTTCTACACCGACGAGATTTATTCTCGAATATTCAAATCCAACAAACACCCATAAAAGTAAAAAAGGGTAGATGCATACGGTGTGATCTCCGAGTACATGGTAAACAGTAACTGGTTCGATTACTATGGAGAATTATGGATTGAAAAGAAAGGGAAAAACGACAAGATTGTTACAATTAGAGAAATGGGGAGAGAGGGGACATGAAAAAAAGGGGAAAAATACAAAAGTACTCAACAGATGTTTCCGCCAGTGAATTCTGCAATGTACTGGTG